GTTGTAAAACCATTATGCTCTTTTGAAGCTCCACATCCTTAAGTCTTAATTTGCCTTTACAAGTGCAGAGTAAGCTCGCTTCGAATTCAGTATTGTTCCAGTGGATGTTCTTGTTCCTCCATTCAGCGCGTGTAGATTGCATGTGATTTCATGCGCTCATTGATTCGCTTGTGTTTTTAGCCCTGGGATAGGGTTAGGGTAGAAGAATTCATCGCTTCGGCCATGGCATATGTGTCGTGGCTTTTAAATTGCCTCATTCGTGAGCGGACAAACAGATAGTTCCGCGCACATCAAAACATCTTGAACACGTAGAACTGAAGTGCTCTACATAACCAACTGATCACTAAATTGTCCGCTTTCTTAGAAAAATTATTGTAGAATTAGAGACTGCCATGATAAAGAAAAACCCCCTAAACAAGCTTTAAACGTTGTTAACAGAAACTTCTCTATTTTATGGTTTGTGTCGAAAGGCTTATAATATTGTTGTAATTTTTTACACTTAACTCATATAATTATGATTCCTTCACGGCATGGCAAATAGAGAAAAGAATCTCATAACCAAGACATCGCAGAAACAATTGTCCACTTGGAAGATCCGAAACTGGTGTTTATATTATTTTTTTTTTTCTTGACTTAATGTTTTCCTCACAAATCTTATCCTTATGGACTGGTTTGGTCCACGTCACTAATATTCGATATTTTCTCAGTTATGATATATTTACGACAGTCGCATCTTTCCAACATATGCATCTAAAGTCATTAAAACACCATATCTTCCATCCTGAATACAGCTTCTACTGACTGTGTTCCAAGTTAAGTGTTACTAGCTCTCCTTGAAATCTGGAAGCATGCACCGAAATCACGCAACAACCACCCATTGGAAGTCACTCAACCTCTTTATACTAGGTTCAATCATATCATTACAGAATGCACTGAAATTTTTAGAATGTTTCAACCATTGAACCATTTTATTTGTGCCTCCTTCTGAGCACGACTCTGCGCTCAGACAAATGAAAAGAGGTCTTCCAACTATACTCCGCCCCACCCTCCCCGGCGTGGGAGCCAGAGCGATCAGTGTGATGAAAAAAAGCCAGATTAGAGACATATACAAGGTTGTCTCTGCGAGATGTTACAGTACAAACTATGTCTTTATGAATTTTAAATTTTTATTATCAACTATTATACAAAATCCAAATCACTTTTGAGATTGTTTTGATTTTCTCTTGCTGTCCCAGACGTTTCAGAAAGTGAGTTGTAACATTTGCTGACGGCCCCTGGAATTTCCTCTCTCAAAAAATTTCCCACCCTATGGGGGCGATATGTCTATAAATTCTTGCTTTTGCTTCAGTGTCAAGCGATCCCCCCCGGAGACCATGGCTTGGCCGGTCTCTGACTCCCCAAGGTTAAACGACAAGGTACATGAGACTTACATTCCTGACCTTAGGGCTCAGAATATATTTTCTCTATTACACTTTGGGACATCACAATCCATATGACTTGATAGGTTATCTTCACGCCTCTTATATTTAAATGAGTTCAAACTATGCTATTTTTGTTTTCTAATTCTAATTTCTGCATCAGAATTGATCATCTAAAGTGAGCGAATCGATGAAACCAACTCTACCAGTTCCAAATGAATTAGCGGCTCATTTGCAGATATATACTAATCACTGATTACATAAAGAAATAATCAGGACAATTTAAGACCTAATTTTTTGGAATGTGCGTTCCTAGATGTGGCATGCAAAGGCTTGTTCATCCAACTCCACACAGTTATGGCGTTCTGTTTCTTTAAAACAATGTCCCGGAATTAAGCTGATTCAGGCAGCAAGCTCTTTTGTCAATCTTCTCATTTCCATTGGTCTTCGACTGATTTAGAGGATTAGAGTTTTTTGAAAGTCCTTTACCCCATTTTATTAGTAGAAACTCATCATGTCGCTGTGAATAATATCTCTAGCCTTATTTGGCAGACCAGTTAGCAGCAGCAGTTGGTGAGTGGTATTCTTGATAGAAATATGTACCAAAGAGATGATGTCCATATCCTTGTGACCATATAACTGTCCCTAACTTACAGCCCATCATCCCCGGTACGTAATCTCGCTCCTAAATCAATATATATTTTAATATTTCAATGCTCAATGTGTTATTGTTGTCGCTAATATGCCAAATATTGCAGGATTCGGATCATAAATTGGAAAAAAGAATTCCTTGTGGGTTTCTCTCTTTCTGAAGTTCCCAACAAAAGAATTGGATTATCAAGGAAGAGTGAAAGGAAGATATACTAAAAGGGAGTATATACTCATCGATTATTTAAAATAAATCTTAGAGCGGAAAAAAATTTATAAGATCAACGCAAATCCTCTTGTATTTTTAATAGTAAAGGAATAAAAACATTCTTCAAATTCGTAATTGTGGGATCAATTGATGCTAGAAAATAGTCGAGAGCACTTTTAATTAATTCAAGCTGAGTGATGTGGCTTTAACACATAATTTTTAATTGCTTTTCCATTTCGGTTGGATACACAACTATACTCGCGTTACAGAAAATTACATGCCAAAGCGTATCAGGTTAGTAAATAATCTTATTCGGATGACTATTTACTTCATGCTCAATTCAGACATAGACGTTATACTAATTTTGATTTTCTTTATTCTTGGTTGGGACATAACTCGGATGCTCCCTCTTTTCGATTTCTCAGGTTCGACACAACGTGAGAGTAGATCCTGATGGCGCGGAAGATGCCGCAAATAAGTCACCAGGGAAACTAACCACTGCCATTTATCCATGGCATCAGTATGGGCTGATTTCCAGTGATCTCCCCTGAATTTGCCAATTTTAGGAGATTTCAATAATGATCTTGTAAAAATAGTGAAAGTGCAGGGTCTGGATATCCCGTAAGTTTAAAAGAGTCCATAAGGTATAATTCAATCGGAAAGTATTAATTTGTTTAATCTCTACATTAAGCTACTCGGATAAAATTACATAGGAAAGCAATAAAAAAAAAATTGTTTACTTTATTTTATAGGAGATTAATTTTTCCATGCTGTGTAAAAAAAAGTTAATGAGTTGTTTTGCCTTCTCGATAAGTCTTTTTCCCCTCGAAACTATCTAAGTTTAATCCAATTTTTTCAAATCCGTGTTTTGGTTTTGACAAGTTTAAAAAAAAAGAAAAAACTCTAAACTCGTAATCAATTAATTTTGATGAAGACATTGATAAAAATGGTAATTTTATTTAAACATTGTAAATCACTGGTCAAAATAAATAAATATAGCCATCCTAAAAAGGTGGTCACACTGGTAATCGGAACTTAACGAAGGGCTTGGAATTGAAATCTCTTATTCTAGCATCTTCTTGAACAATAACGGATAAGGATACAGTAATAAAATTCGTAATTTAACTGTCTTACATATGGAAATTGCGCAAAATTTCCTAATAAAAGGAAAATAGAAAAAATATCTGCGATTTTGTGACCTCCAATAAGGAGAAGGCCACGCCATGTCAATAGTAGTGCTCACCACAATAAGAGATTTACGGCCACCCCATCCAATCCAACAACCGCCGCAGCCATCCGCTATTACTTCACGTCAGGTGCGCTCCTATTACCTCCGCCGCAGTACACTCTGCCATCAAGTCTCAGCCGATGACGCCCTCCACGTCTATATTACCTAAACGCCCCTTACGATTTTTTGTCCCAACCAAACAAATGCAAAGCCCCGTATCTTTAAGACATCTGGTTGGCCCAGGAAACACGCGTCAATTTTTCGGCGTTCCAAGTTGAATGCTCGTTCTTCCTCTCCTTCCCCATGCACAACCGGGGAAAAAAGTTTAAACAGCAAAAAGGGAGGAGAGAGTTACAGGAGAGGACAGTGGATAGTACTGTAGTGAGGAGGTAGGAGGAGCTAATTATATATAAGAGCAAATAGAAGGTGCCCATGCCTTGTTCCTCTGTCTAGCACTGTAGAGTCTGTGGTGTTGGTGAGAGGAGGCGGAGATATTAATGGTTCGCTTCGTCGCTTCAACTGAAACGAGTCCCACTTTTTTGGCTTCTCTCATGCCTAAGAAAGAGATTGGCCGAGTTCTGCTTATTGAATTTGCTCATCCCTGAAGTTTGACCGGACGTGCGTAGTTATACGCTTTTTTCGTACTACTGCAATACTCACCGACATTCTGCTGTTTTGACCTTAATAGGAGGAAGTTTTGGAATTGATTACTTGCGTGAGTAAATTATGGCTGAATTTTATTAGATTCTGTGAGTTGGACCGCGGTGTCTGCTCAGATTTGCCAATTGACCTCGGATGGGAAGCGCGAAGAATCCTCGATGTTTATTGACTGGTATCGAAACAAAGTTTACTTAGCTTGTATTATTACAGGTTTGTTGATGAACCCGTTTTTTGTCCTGAGGTATTTTCCATTTCTTATTCTCCAGGCACTGGGAGTGGAGACATTTGCTCTTCGAAAGTTCCGGGTGGAAAGCCTGAAATGCGGAATTTGTTGCATCCCCGCGTGGTTCAGGGTTGGCCCTTCAACTGCCCTATCGGTTATGGCTTGGTTGCACTCCTACTGAGTTGTACTCTTCTCAATTTTTTTTTTTTTTTTTTTTTTGGAGCTTCATATTAGTGTAGAAAATGTTCTGTTCTTGTTAATGGCAACAGTAAGTTGCATTAATGGCTCCTGAACTCTGTGCCTGGTTATAATGAAAGTGTGTTGTTGATAGGGGCTCCCTCTGGCGTTGTTCAATTACTTATGGAAAAATCGCTTCCGGGTGAATGGCACAGTTCTTTCGGCTCGTTTTGTTTTGGTTTTATAAGTTGGTGTTATGTAACTATTTACTTGGCCACATTTTAACTGGCAGCGTTTGAAAGGTAGCTATTTGTTTTTCGCTCACTTCTTTGCGCAATTTTTTTTTTTTTTTTTTTTTTTGGAGCTTTCATATTAGTGTGAGAAAATTGTGCTGTTCTTTTATGGTAACAGTAAGTTGCATTAGCTCTGAACTCTGTGCCTGGTTATAATGAAATGTGTTTGATAGGGGCTCCTCTGGCTGTCAATTCTTCATGGAAAAATCCTTCCGGTGAATGGCACGTTGGTTATAAGTTGGTGTATGAACTATTTACTGCCACATTAACTGCACGTTTGAAGGTAGCATTGTTGTCCTCACTTCTTTGTGCAATTCAAATTGTACAACTAAACTTCGGCACTAGTAATTTGTCTAATAAACATAAATTTGCTTCCCCTTTTCTAATTGACAGAAAGAAAGAAAAAAGAAGTGGGATGAGAAAAACCAGGAAGAAATTGCTGTGGCAGTAAAGCATCTTGACGAATTCAATCAGGTTTTTGGAAATCCTGCTTGATTTCTTCATTATATGTGTATCGTCCGTCAAAGTTAGAAAGTGCATTGGTTTTTATCTGAAGACATTAAACTTCTTTCAGTTTCTGCGTACAAACTTTCTAGAAATTATTCCCCTGATAACCCCATAGATGGAGGGTATATTTTTTAACTTGGAATTAAAGTTTACATTTAGATGCATTGCTTGTTAGGCTTTTGTTGATTGCTCAGAATACTGGAGAATTGCTGGATTAAATATTCTTATTTGCTGCTAAATAACATGTGTGGTTATTTTTATTCCTGCATAATATGTGTTATGATGCTCTTGTTTTCCAGAAACACTCCAGTCCGGATGATGCAAATTTGAAGAAGGTTCGAGAAGACCTTCAGAACAGAATTGATATTCTGCGAAAGCAAGCTGATGCAAGTATCAAGTTCCTTAAATCTGTTCCTGTTCTATAGTTGTTCTTGCTATTCTGTAAAATGATGTATTTTTTCTACGCTTCAGAGTTATGATGACAAGGGACCGGTCATAGATGCTGTTGTATGGCATGATGGAGAATTCTGGAGGGCTGCTCTTGACACACAAAGTCTTGAGGATGACCCAGAATGTGGAAAGCTTGCTAATTTCATACCTCTTACAAATTATAGGTATACGAAATTGCTATTGACTACGATGCATGGTCAAGAGCTCTTTATCTGACTTTTGGGTGGGAAATGATTTTCATCTAGGTGTGCTATTGTTATCTACACGCTAACTTGTCGTTTGGTGGATTTATGTATAATGCAACAAAAAAGAAGAACGACAATCTTCAGGAACTGAAATCATATGATTTATTCAAGTTAATCATAATGGATATTTGGATTGATAGGCTAATATATTTTTCACCTTAGGTACATTATGTATTTGATGTCTCTGATGTAGGGTATTATTTGTTGTATTTTTTTGGCAGTCATTTCTTGGGGTTTTTAAGTGTTGAAAATTTTGATTATTTTCTTTTTAACAATTTTGTGCCCCTGCTAGTTTTGTGAATTTTATAGCGTACATGGATTAGTAATGCAGCGATGAAATATCATGTCATACAATTTGGATTCTTAAATAATTTTACAGCAACTGTTCTTTCAGGGCTGAAAGGAAATTTGGTATATTCAGCAACTTGGATGCATGCTCATTTGTACTTAATATATATGATGAGGGAAATGTCTTAAGTATTGTAACTGATAGCTCCCCCCACGGTACTCATGTAGCTGCTATTGCTACTGCCTTCCACCCAAAGGTACTGCCATTTTAAGTAATTACTTATTTGTTTGTTGCATTCTCTCCACTGTAGAGTGCTTTTACTTTTGGGGTTTTTCATTGACGAATTTCTCAGGAGACGTTACTGAATGGAGTTGCCCCCGGAGCACAGTTAATATCATGCAAAATTGGAGACTCACGTTTAGGTTCAATGGAGACAGGCACTGGCTTGACGAGGGCCCTGATTGGTGCTGTGGAGGTGGGTTGAATTTATTCCATATAGTACATCCATCTTAATTAAATAGTATTTGAATACATTTTTTTTGTTTGAGCATTGCAATTACAGGTTGTATGTTTAATTTTTTCTTGACTTGTTATTAACTTTCAAAATACCCCTGTTATTTATTCTGTGTACAGTAAATTATGTTCTGCATGGTCTAATTACCTGTTACATACTGAATAATACCTTTTTTGTTTCCACTTTTCAGCATAAATGTGATCTCATCAATATGAGTTATGGTGAACCCACGTTACTGCCAGATTATGGCCGCTTTGTTGACCTTGTTAATGAAGTATCAACTCCAGACCTTACAATTCCTTCTATGACATTGTTTATCTTATTTTTCTTATTCAGGATTTGTGCTTATGAATTACCATTGATTTTATTAGGTGGTAAATAAGCACCGTCTCATATTTGTTAGCAGTGCTGGTAATAGTGGTCCAGCACTAAACACTGTTGGTGCACCTGGCGGTACATCTTCCAGCATTATAGGAGTCGGTGCATATGTCTCTCCAGCAATGGCTGCTGGTGCTCATTGTGTGGTTGAACCTCCTTCTGAGGGACTTGAATATACTTGGTATATTGATTTCCTTTTGCTTGACTGTATCCCTTAATATAAGTCTTTAGACTCAGTCACTCCCTATGACAATAACCTATCTTACGTTTAGCTTATACTTCGGTTGAATTGGTGTGCAGGTCCAGCAGAGGACCGACAGCTGATGGAGATCTTGGAGTCTCTGTAAGTGCTCCTGGTGGGGCTGTTGCCCCAGTCCCTACATGGACTCTACAAAAACGTATGCTTATGAATGGAACATCTATGGCTTCTCCATGTGCTTGTGGTGGAATTGCATTACTCCTTAGTGCAATGAAGGTTCCTATTTTTTGCAGTTTCTCTCGCTTTTACCCTTTTTGCCTGGTTGTTCATTAGGCTGAAATTTCTGGCATGCTACCTAATATCTGCAGGCAGAGGGCATTCCTGTAAGCCCATACAGTGTAAGGAAGGCCCTTGAGAATACATCTATTCCAGTTGGTGAATCGCTGGCAGATAAACTATCCACAGGACAAGGGCTCATGCAAGTTGACAAGTTAGATATTGTGCTTTGGCCTTTTCTAATCTATAATTGTGACACATAAATTGAACTTTTTTTTTTCATTATGGAATTGGTTGTGACTGCTTGTCGTGTAAAAGGGCTCATGAATATATACGACAATCCAAGAATATTCCGAGTGTTTGGTATGAAGTAAAGATCAATCGAACTGGAAAATCAAGTAAGTCCAGCTTTTATCTGTCTATCCCACACCCTGCACGTAAAAAACTGGACTTCCTTCCTGGGTGATAACTGTTAAATGAATACCTTCTTTTTACTATGTTTCTATGTTTCTTACAATCTAAATGCTTTACATGCAAGATTAATACTTGAAACCTACTCATTTAACATTGATTGACTGGCTAACTGGGGAAATTAGATTGTCACTAATGGATAGTTTTTGGATATGGTAAGATTTCCACTTGATTTATGAAACTATAACTTTGTTAATGATAAGTTTTGGCTGCAGTGCCTACTTCTCGAGGCATCTACTTGAGGGAGGCTAGCGTTTGCCAACAACCTACAGAGGTGGGTAGATGCCAGGCTTAGTATTGAGGTTTTATTTGTGTGTGTTATCTATATGATGTGGTGTTCTGTGTGAGTTTAGTTGAACACCTGAATTCTATCTTCTAGTAGTCTTTTAGTTATTATCACTTGTTATTATGAGTTAGTGTTCACTGTAAATGAATGAGCGACTTAAATGAGCGACTTAAATTAGCGACTTAAATTAGCATCTCTTAATATCCTGAAGCAGCCTCAGGTTTCAGTTTATTTGTTCACTTGGCAAGCTTATGGTGAAACCTGTCATGAAAATTGCCGCAATGTTTTGAGGAGCATGCTAAAGCTTAAATAACTAGTCTATTTTTGATTTACCTGTCCCTGTTTGTGTTCTGTGGGACATTAGTGGCTTGTGCAATTGGTGTTTGTCAAAGATAAAATATGCCTTGCCCAGGCATCAGTAGATGCAATTAATGTTTGTCACAGTTCAAGTGCTGAATTCGTGTCTGGAAATGCCTGGTTTCTTTGCATGATTGACAGCTAGCCTTTCAATGTCATCTTAACAGTGGACAGTGCTAGTTGAACCTAAGTTTCATGAAGGTGCAAGTAATTTGGAGGAATTGGTTCCCTTTGAGGAGTGCATTGAGTTACATTCTACTGAAAAGGCTGTTGTGATGACTCCTGAGTACCTCCTCCTTACTCATAATGGGCGTAGCTTCAAGTGAGTTGCCATCACTTATTTATTTATTTTTTATTTTTTGAGGTTCCTTGTATACATACTGTCATTTGGTTCTTTGACGCCCTTATACCTCAAAATGGATATGAAAAAATACCATAAAATGTTGCTCTATATATTGTATGCTGGATTATATTGGCAAGACACCAATTAGATTGTTCAGAATTGGACATACCAAAAGACCTTAATAACATTCATGCGTTCAACTTCTCTTTAGTATTCTTGTACTCCATGGTTATTGGTAGTTTTCCTTGAATTTTCAGCATTTTGGCTCTAATTATTTTGATCCTGTAATTCGATTTATTTTTTTGATGTCTAGCGTTACGCTGACTACGTATTTCAATCTATTATGCCTAAGGGTAACGTATGTTAACATGCTTTTTACCCTCCTTATTCAGTATTGTGGTAGATCCAACAAAGCTGAGTGATGGTTTACATTATTATGAAGTCTATGGAGTTGATTGCAAAGCACCATGGCGTGGTCCCATTTTCAGGATTCCAGTTACAATTACAAAACCTATGATAGTAAAGACTCGGCCTCCGCTTGTTTCCTTTACAAGGATGTCGTTTCTGCCAGGTCATTTTATATTTTTGTGAAATTTACAACATAAAATAATAATTTTACTTGCACACATAATTTCACTCATGCTTCTTTATGATATATAGCTTATAGGTGGGCTTTTTTACATGCAAAGTCAAGCAGATAGAAATCATTTTTACTTTTGTCTGCTGTCAAAATTGAAGCATACTAGGTCCTTCTCTGAGGATGGCATCAGGAAATGTAGTAGGGAGGAAATAAGATTAATTGGGAAAATACAAGTTGAAAAACAGTAATATGGTTTTAACGACCAACCAATGAAAGCTATCACAAAAACTCCAAATACAATTGCAAATATATGAGCATTTTGCAGCCAGAGAAATAGTGTTAAGTTTGCTATTTTAATCTTTAGGACTTGAGAAGTTCAGGAATGACTTGCTTGCAAGTCTTAACGTTGCATTTGGTAATTATGTGAAAGTCAGTTGCATGTTTAGGTTGGTGTGGCATTTTTGCTAAAAATTTGACTGCACTTAAGTTTTCTTTACATGGTCCCCATTCTGAGTCAGGATAAACTTTCAAATATATATATATATTTTTTTCCATATGGAGCTTTTTATGTTTGAATACGGAATGGACCAAATTCATTCTTTTCTATCATACTGTGCTGATTTAACAGGCCATATAGAAAGGAGATATGTTGAAGTGCCACTTGGTGCTAGTTGGGTTGAGGCAACCATGCGAACATCAGGGTTTGATACTGCTCGAAGATTTTTTATTGATACTGTTCAGGTACAAATGGGTTGGAGATCTGCATTAGATTGTCTATACTTGTTTTAACATGCTTGCTATGCAGATCTGCCCCTTACAAAGACCTATCAAGTGGGAGAGTGTTGTGACATTTTCTTCCCCTTATGCCAAAAGCTTTGCATTTCCTGTGGTGGGTGGTCAGACAATGGAGTTAACTGTTGCTCAGTTTTGGTCAAGTGGCATAGGAAGTCATGAAACTGCTATCATTGACTTTGAGGTAGCAAGTCATATTAGAATTTTTGCTACTTTATTTAACTGAATGGTAAATTGTTTTGCTTTTATTCTTGGTACTTCTTGACATTTATGAGGTGTGTTTGTAACTTTGTTTCTGATTTTCCTTAAACTGATTGCGTTATGGACATTTTATCTCTTGTTTATTCCACATCTTTACAGATACTCTTTAATTAATGTTTGGTTAGGATTGAAGTTGATCATATTTTTTGTTGTACTTGTATTAAGTGGCATGTTTTCTTAGTGATCATTTTTATTGTACAAACGTATAGATTGTGTTTCATGGGATTGACATCAATAAAGAGGATATCATGCTTGATGGAAGTGAAGCACCTGTCAGAATTGATGCTGAAGCTGTACTGGCATCTGAGAAACTTGTCCCTGCTGCTATTTTGAGTGAGGTGAATATGTTTGTTGCACAGATAATATTGACTGTATTTCCTCTCCTCGTGAATAAACGTAAATTATTGTTCTTTAATATGGTTCTTTGCATATTAATGCTGTGTGTCTCTCCATCTCTTATGTTCCATTTGCAGATAAGAGTTCCATATCGACCTGTTGATGCTAAACTTAGCACTCTCACGACAGATCGTGACAAACTGCCCTCCGGAAAACAGACACTAGCACTGACATTAACGTAAGTTTCATTTTAGTTTGTCTAATGTCCTGAATTTCAAAATTTACATGACCATCCATTCTTTTTCCTTTTGGCTTTGCAGTTACAAGTTCAAATTGGAGGATGCAGCCAACATAAAGCCCCAAATTCCATTGCTTAATAATCGCATTTATGACACTAAATTTGAGTCGCAATTTTATGTGATCTCTGACGCTAACAAGGTACTTTGCATTTATGTTGTTGTGCTAATTAAATTTTTAAGTTGCTGACACATGTGATTTAACGCTTAACTAGTCTTACGAATTTTTATTTTCTTGTTAACAAGTTTTATTATTTTAGCCAATAGATATATACCAAAATGATAGTATGCTTCAATCTGCATCACAAATAGGTCTTTATTCTTTGGTATCAATGAATATAGCTGTAAGCTTTGGCGGAATCTCTTATACTTTACCTTAACAGTGTGAAGAGATGGTTGTTTCTTTTCTCTTTGTATGTTCCAATTTGATTCCTGTCTTACATTTTTTCCTATTTCCAATAATAGCGTGTGTATGCAATTGGTGACGCCTATCCAGAGTCATCAAAACTTCCCAAAGGTGAATACAATTTACAGCTATACTTAAGGTATGGTCCATTTGCTTAGGCAGATCAAATCTTTGTGCACATGCATATCTTCTTGTGTGCATGAATGTGCATGCACTATTGAATTTCCTTGCTAAAACTATATGTGTTTGCCAGTTTGAACTTTCTGTAGCTAAAGATGCTTCTCCAGGTTAATTTTTCTTATGATGATGCTCATGTTGCAGGCATGACAATGTGCAATATTTGGAAAAAATGAAGCAGTTGGTATTGTTTATTGTGAGAAAGTTGGATGACAAGGTAGATTATCTTGATCTTAAATATTGACTTGTGGGATACTAGATGAAGTAAATGGCATATTACAGTCATGAAACTCTTTGCTGTACTAGTTTCATAATCAAATCTATACAACACAGGTTTTATCAGTAATGATTCTGACTTACTTTGACTATGGATAACTTCTTTTTCTTCATTCTTTGATATGTATTAACTTGTCATGAATGATTATTCTTCACATTTTGGGTTCAAAGATATGGCTAAAACTGTGAAGACTTTTGAAAATTTTAATTGATCTGGCATGACTGGAGCTTCTAGAAAAGCTTGAACGTTGAGGACTAGACTACTAGTTTTTTATGTCTATCATATATGAGCTATGCTTTTGGTGATAGATTAAGTCCTTTTTTTTAGTAAGTACTAGCTTGAGTTAGAAGCTGATGTTGTAAAGTGGGATCTAAACTTATGTAGAATGTAGGAACATACTGCAGGTTAAAAAATGTTAAAAAAATATATGGATTTTAGATGTGTAATTTTCCAGTAAATTTCTGGGTCTTGTATCAAAACTCTGTCATCTTAAATATATAGTATTGCTAGTAAATTACCTCTTTGAATTTTTCATATCAAATCCATATGTTTTGTACTGTTGCACTGTCCATAGAGGACAGAGGATATTAACTCCTACCTGGAGTAAATTGTGTATAAATTAGATTACATTTTAGCTTTCAGGTACTTCAATTCTCTAGTTATTTCTTTTAATACAGGATGTCATTCGATTGAACTTTTTCTCCGAACCAGACGGACCTGTCATGGGAAATGGTGCTTTTAAATCCACAGTTTTAGTTCCAGGGTATGTTGCATCCCTGAATGATATATTTCTATGATTACTTGTGTCATTTCTGCTGTATTACAGTTTTCAATTTAAAATTTTCTGGTAGAAAGAAAGAAGCAATCTACTTGGGCCCACCAGTGAAAGACAAGCTTCCAAAGGTAGTGGAATCTCTCCTCCCTGACTTCCTTCAATCATGAAGTAACAATCATGTATATCTTAAATGAAAATATATAATAATACCCATGAATCTTTGCAGAATGCTCCGCAAGGATCTCTACTGCTTGGGGCGATCTCATATGGAAAGCTATCATTTGTTGGTCTGGGAGAAGGGAAAAATCCAAAGAAGAATCCTATATCTTATCAAGTCTCTTATATAGTGCCTCCGAATAAGGTAGTAACCTGTGGTTCGTCTGATTTGCTATGGTATCCGACAACTTGTCTGCCATTTTTATTAACATAAACACCTCAATTCACGTCCCTGTACACCATTTCTATAATATCTTTTGACAGGTTGATGAGGACAAGGGAAAAGGGTCATCTTCAACCTCCTCTAAAACTGTTTCTGAACGTTTGGAAGAAGAGGTACTTTTGAGTCAATTTTCTTGCTATCTGTTGAATAATTAAGGGGAAACTAATGATCCTGGGTTCTTATATTAGCTACTGGGAAAACCAGTCTTGTAATGTTGTATGCATGCTAGAATGTAGAGCACCTTTATTCACATACATTACTGTTACCCATATTGTGCATCTTAGACAATTATGTTTGAGTTATTTAAACTTTCAGTTGAATAACATCTTGGTCATGTTTTTTTCAGTTACTATCTTTGAGTACACAGATAATTACTGTTCTTCACCTTGACAGGTTCGAGATGCTAAGATTAAAGTTTTTGCCAGCCTAAAACAAGACCTGGATGAAGAATGCTCAGAATGGAAAAAGTTGTCCATCTCTCTTAAGGTTAAAGCTTGTTTAATGTTGAAATGCTATTGTTTAATTTGTTCTTTTAAAAGTTATTTCTTAACATGGGTTGTATTTGCATGCGTTTAATAAGCTAAGCCTTTTCAATCTTATATCGAGGTCATATCCGCTGTTGGACATTCCAGCTCAGCTGTAGACCTGGAAGTCTTAGGCTTATTCTTCCTTTTGGTCTCGGGCAATAGGATATTTTTGAATTGCGTGATCTAAACATTTTGCTTGGTGCAATCTTTATATGGTGGATAGAGGCTGCCAAATTGAAGAATTTTGTGGTGTTCATTCTCTTTGATTTTGATGACCTTTGAAAGCAATATGCGTCTCTTGCTGTTCTTGCAAGCTTGATGTGCTTTGAGCATTTGCCTTTAAGTTTTCCAAACTTTTTGGCTCGGGTCGGTCAATTTATACATTATAGGTTGTGGATCTATTGTATTGCTTCGAGAGAATGTCAACTAACAAGTTTCATCTGTTCTTGGCAGGCTGAATACCCAAATTATACTCCGCTGCTTGCTAAGATTTTAGAAGGCTTGGTTTCTAAGAGCAATGTTGAGGACAAAATTGCTCATGGTGAAGATGTAAGTTATATGAAAATAATGTGTAACTGTAATACAAAGTAATATACAGTCTTTTCCATATGAGAAAATGGTGGGACCTAGCATTTATATCCTCAGTTGGATTTTTTTGTTTTAAAGTTTTGTTATCATCCAGATCATAATCTCTGAAAGAAAATAATAAGGTTTGTGCATTTAATGGGGTTTGGGGGAATAACTTTGTTGATGAGAATCTATGTTTTGCCTTTGTTTGGCTGAATATTATGAATTTTCTGTTTTCTTTTGTTCCTATTTTGAAGTTCATGATCAGAGAACAGTGATTCACTTGCACATGTCATTTTACAGATTATAGGTGCAGCAAATGAGGTAATTGATAGTATTGACACTGAGGAGTTGGCAAAATTTTTTTCCCTCAAGAGTGATCCAGAAGATGAGGAGGCAGAGGTAGCTTTGATGCCTTTCTTTTTAACCTTTTTTTGGCTCCTCTTGGACAAAGTTGCATGGGAAACTGTTTGTAAATTCACGACAGATTGTTAAGATACTTAATGCAATTGTAGCACATTCTTTTCTTCATTTGGGATTTGGGAGTTTGAGTTTCTCATCTGGCTGAATGCATTTCTCATTCTATTGTTATCTTGTTTGGAAAACAACAATTGTTACTTCGATGTTGCAAGCATTCATGTTTAGTAGAGTAACAGCTACTGAGATACTCCTTTTGCTGCATTTACTGCAGAAGATAAAAAAGAAGATGGAGATGACCCGGGATCAATTAGCAGAGGCCCTATACCAAAAAGGGCTAGCAATTTCAGACATCGAGTCTCTGGAGGTAGGAAGAGTTGGCTACATGTGGTGGTATTTTCATCATTATTTTCGTTCAAAAGTGATCTTATATGCACACCACCCTGCTACATGGGTGCATGCTGTTCTTCCTCTAAGTAATATGCCACCATGATACCAAAATGTAATAATAAGTCTCTCAAAACAAAAAAAGAAAAGTAACAATACAAGTCTGGATTGAACTTAGCAACATTTTGGGGCTTTAAAACATGAGAATTTTTTACTCACCATTGTCATTTTGCTGGAGAAAAATATCAATTTCAGCGAGAGTTTCATGAATGTCATCGGAGAACTTTAATGCTGATTTATGTGTGTGCTTGTGACAAGAGAGAGGAGTGGTGTCAGTTACTGCTTCCCTCCTCCGCCCCATATTTTGAAATTTTGATCTCGCAGTGATTTGTTTTTTTCTTTGCCCTATTCTTTTGGTAAAGGATCTGACATGGATATATGTCGACGTGTCTGATTCATCCAAAAGTGAAAACATAGGATACATGGAAACCAATTCAAAGGTGGTACGTTATGTGTCCTAATAATCATGAGTACCTATAATTATATATATATATATATATATATTCATGTATATGTGTTGATTTTATTGAGACCAAGTGTTGTTTCATTGATCATTGACTTAATTCATATTCATTATCATCATGGTAACAATGCCAGAGAGAGAAAGCTGAACCGGTAGCTGCACCAGAAGGCACGAAAGGTGGAAAATATGCACCTGGTGGCCAGCAAGATCTGTTTGAGGAGAATTTCAAAGAATTACGAAAATGGGTTGATGTGAAGTCCTCTAAATACGGCACCCTCTTAGTGATACGTGAACGGCGATGTGGAAGGCTTGGAACAGCTCTGAAGGTAAAATATCATTTTTTCAAATGTAGGGGACATGCACCGAAGTAATTGTTTCTAACAAGCTCCTACCATGAATATTAAATTATGTCTAAGAGATTATCCCGATAGGGAAATGTGTGTATGTAGTCTCAAGTGAGTTATCCATTTTTTTCAAGTTTAACCCAATCATGTACTGGATCAGGTGTTGAATGACATGATTCAAGATGATGCTGATCCTCCAAAGAAGAAGTTTTACGAACTGAAGCTCTCACTGCTTGATGAGATCGGATGGAGCCACTTGGCAACATATGAGAGACAATGGATGCATGTGCGTTTCCCTCCAAGTTTGCCTCTTTTTTAAATAACTCGCTGTTGCGTCCAAGCCCATTTCAATACTTTGGTCACTGTTAAGGACATCTTCATTAATAAAATAATTTCAGTTTTCTTCAACTCATTTTTCTCCTCATTGATCTTTCTGTTGATACTTGTTAAGTATTGTTATTTACTTAATGGATTCATATATTTGTGTAGCCATTCGGAATTGATTACTCTTATTAGTTATTAAGACATAAGCGTAAGATCTGTGTTTTTATATGGTAAAAGATGCAAGATGCCTGCCTAACTTTATGAATGGTTGCAAATCTTGAACACGTGTTCGATTACATGAACCAACAAGGTACTTGCCTACTGTTCAAAATGTTTGTAAAAATAGTAATCTTCTTGTCCGTCTTGCTGCCGAGTAATTAGACTTTGAAAATATGATTTGACTTTTCATCTAGCTAATGGAGTTGTTTTCTGAAATTTAAATGTTTGAAAGTGCTCAAACTCTCATCATTTCTTCTATTTTTTCAGGTTGGTTAGGTTTGAAGTAAATAAAAGGAAGAGTCCTTCCCTTTCTTAATTTTCATCAATTTGATTCATTTGTAGTATAAAAAGGCAGTCAATAAGAACAGCTTGAATGATTTTGAAGACTGAAAGAAAAAAAAAAGAAGTATGCTTTCTATTATTTTCCATATTGGACTCAGACAACACATGAAACAAACACTAGACCTGATGAAGTTACAGGAGACTGTTCTCAAGTTAGAAATCCTAAGCCCTAATCACAGAGGGGTTGAATAATAAGAGGTAGCCCTAAACTAGGTCTTAAGGAAAGCATAATAGAAGGGGAATGAGAATAAGTTGGAGAGACAGAAAAAGAAAACCTAGTAAGCATCAAGGATAAAACAACTCTATACTCCATCATAGCTAAATTCCTACCTACACACATTCTTCCTCCAAACCCAAAAGGCAAAAACCCCATTTTGTGTTTGCACCCACCATACAAGTCTTCTTTGAACCTCTCTGGTTTGAACTCATACACATCTTCTCCCCATAGATTAGGGTCATGGTGCATACCAACAACGTCAATCCAAACATTTGTTCCTTTAGGGATTGTGAGCTTATTTACAGTAATATCCTCTCTTGTCTGCCTTTGTACATTTGGTGCTGGCGAGTAAAGCCTCAAAACTTCATTCCAAACCCATCCCATCTGCGAACACCATAATTTACATGGTTTTTGTAAGCTTTCTAATCAATTTTATACAAAAAGAAATTGAAAAAAACCCAAATCCACATTGCGGAAAATTTTGATTCTAGCGTACTTATTTCCACTCTAATAGTCTATTAATTATTAATTTAATTAACCAAAAAAACAGGAAGCATAAACTATTGGATTGTGGCAGTGGTGAGTGGCGGCCACTTGGTGGGCCGGTTAGAACTAGTACAGCCTTAGCCGCGTTTGCCACGAGTACTTTCGGCTGGTCAAAGCCGTTGTGGGTTACAACTACCTGTTATCAGGTTTTCAAAAAGTGAGATGTTGTTTTGACAGTACTATCCGTGACGATGACTTGGCCATCGTCGTTTTTCTCTTTTTCATACCCTTTTCTGGCCTTTTGGAGGAGCAAAGAATAAGAAGAAAATAAATGTGATCCTAACCCTACAAAATAAAGAAGGCCATTACAATATATGGTATTTGTGATCGTGTGCGCGTGGACTATTTGTGTTTGACCTTGACTCTTTGAATTTGGTCTATGAAAACCACCACCCAATTGTCCAATGATGGTGCTCTTCAATACCAATTTCACTATTTCAATCTACAGGCTTTCTACGTACCACAAAAATACCCATTTCTTTTCTTCCTTCTAAAAAATCTATTTGCAGCAAATCCTACACTAAAAATCGTTTTATGTTCATGTTTATATATATGCATGGGATAATAAAAACAAGCAATGGGTTAATGTATTACCTTCTTAAGTCCAGAGAGCATAGAGAAATCAATCTCTTTATCTCCTATAACTTCTTTAATCTCTTCTCTTAATCTGTTCTGCCATTCTGGATGTATTGCTAAAAGTAGCAAAGTCCATGATAATGCTAATGCTGTAGTCTCATGCCCACCGAAAAAGAAAGTTTTGCACTCATCTACTAACTCTCGACTTGTCAATGTCTTCCCTAACCGTCCATCTTCATGATTCTCTTCTAGCAATAACCCTAATAAATTTTTTTGAAGATATCCGCCATTACTAGACTTTTTGCGATCTGCAATAATTGATAAAAGAAGATCATCTATTTCTTTTCCAAGATTTTTAGCTTCTAGGGTTTGCTTTGGGCAAAAGAACTTGCTAAAGGGTACTCCTACGTAACGGTTAGTTTTGAAGAGAGTATATTGCATTGCCCTTAATTTTTCTAACACTTGTTTTCCATCTTCATAGCCTATTCCAAAACTTGTCTTGGCTATGATTTCTCCTGCTGTTGTAATCATTTCTCTCTCGACGTCAATTTCTTTGTAGCCAGAATTTACTAAGGCTCCCCACTTGTCTAGCATATTAGTGGTGGACTCCACCATTAAGCTTGCCATAGCCTGTATAGATAACATATATAGATCAGACAACAGAACTTAATTAGTGGGTTTAATATATAATTTTACAATTAACATGCAATATTCCACTAGGTAGCTAGATATATATTAATTATATCTAATTAATCCTATTAGTCTTTATGAAGCCCTCATTCAAATATAGTAGATTACCATTGGTGACTTTTTTTATGACAAAGTTAAAGAATTGTAGCCATGCCTTCAACAGAATTTGTATCCACCAACCTATTTTATCATTTTCTTTTTTTCAGTTTAGCCATCATTTAGTAGAAAATTAACATTTGGAAAAGTATTCACATTCTTTATCCATTTTTATTAATAAAAATTATTTATATATATATAACGAACAAATATCATGTCTTTAGTGCGTCAAATCTTTTATCCAACAAACTAACGCTAAATTTACGTAAGTTATGTTAACATTGAATTCTCAGATATATACATATATATATCTTTCAAGATCTATGCTTCTGCCAATAACGCTTTGCTGATACCTGAGATGGTTAGGGTCTACTCTACGAATATTTTTCCCAACAAATCCCAATATTTAGATTGGATTGGACAGTCACTTTTTGTCTTTGTAAAGAAATAGATTGTCTAATTTGATGCGTAAGCGTGTGTAGTGTGTTTCTGTGCTTGTGTGTGAGAGAGAGAGAGAGGGAGAGAGGGAGAGAGGGAAAGGTTATAAGTTATAACCTTCAAGTTGGCCGGAGAGAGTGCAGGAGTTATAACGTGGCGGTGACGAACCCAATCATCACCTTCAACCATAACCAAACCATTACCAAACATAGGCTTCCTATCATGCTTAAACACATCAGGCTTTCCCCAGCTCTTCCCCATCACTCCTGTAGACATTGTTTTAAGGAATTCTGGCTCTGCTATATATAAAAATGGCTCTGTACCTAACCAGTATATGAACACTTTTCCTGCAACACAAAAATTCATCACTATTATCTTCCATCTTCAATCTCTCTTTTACTACTTCCATAAATAATTCGTTTGAAAAGATTCCTATTGTATTGAGTTCAAATTAACTCTTTAGTAAGTTATTCTTTTCATATAAAAGATTCAATGAAACAAATTAACTTCGTTTTGGTAGTCTGATATCATCGTATTCAGAACTGTCAGGTCCAAGTTCAAATTCCATATATAGCTAACCATTAACAACAACAAAAGAAATGTATATATATAACGCATACCATGAGATTTTTGCCATTGGGCGAAGTAAGGAAAAACAGTAGAGTGAATATCATTGGAGAAGTTTAAGAATCCAGAAGAAGAAGTACTATTTGTGGTTGTACTGATCTTTTTAATCTCCTTAATATTTCCAAGAGGGAATTTTGGAGTTGGACCTCCAAACCCATTTCTTTTAAGCTTCATATATGTCATAACAGGCGAAATCCAGAAAGAAATCAATACTTTAAATAGCAAGCAGATAAAAATACTAACTATAGTCAAATTAAAAACTTTAAATATAAGAAACAGCTCCATCTCACTTAATTTCTCTATCGACCTGACACAAAAGGAATGAAGGAAAACAACAGAAAATGATGTCTTCGAAGGAAATGGATCGGTATAGAGAGGGTGATGGGTTTTGTATATTAATAAAGCTGCTGCGGCGGTGGCTTATGATATAACCCAACCCCCCAGACGATGGGTATTTATAGATAAAAAATGTCGGAGTTTGACTATATTAGAACTTTTTTTTTTTTTTTTTTTTTCTTGACTATATTAGAACTTTTTTCTTTTTTTTTTTTTTGTACATTGATATACTTTAGAACTTTTTTTTTTTTTTTTTTTTGTCATTGACTATATTAGAACTGCACATTAATGACATGTATGTTTGAATATTTGTTCAACTTTTTAGGTGTCTCTATGTTTCCTGGAACATAATTTATTAAAAGTCTTATCTTTTTCTTTTTTTTTTAATTTTTGTGCTTTTTGCCAATTGCCAGCCTGCGTTTTTGTTTGGTCTGTCCCCTGCTTTTTCCTTCTTTCATAACCAATTTCATGCGTGGAAGCCGCCCCGTACGGCTCCAAACTATTTGGCCAATTATCATTTGCCACATAGGATTATTTTGACTAATCTTCTGCTTACGTGGACTAGGAGAAAATCTTCTATTAATACGATATAATTTTTCCTATTTTTATTTTTTCCGTGAGCCACGATATTTATTGGATGTGGGTTAGAATTTGGACACAAAGAATAATAAAAATGGTTACAAATCAATTTTAACTTGTTTCCATGTATATATTATGTAAATATCTATAAAAATAAACATTGAAACGATAAATAAATAAATACAAAGATTTGAATTTAGGAGAAGAGCGTTTGCTTTTTTTTTTTCTTTTACAAAATAATTATTTAATTTGTTGAATTATATATTAAAAATTTGTTGTTTTATTTTTCTTGTAAATTTATTGCTTATAAAAACTAAAGCATCAATTAATTATTTTAAGATTAGAGTGGTAGAAATCGGAAAAGAAGTAAAGAACCCACTTACTAATATATATTCCTTAGGCAAAAAAATTAAAGAAAAGTATAAAATATCATTCTTTTTCTTTTCTTTTCTTTTTCTTGTTATTAAACTAGTAATATTATTGTTTTTTACATAAAAAAAAACGAACACGAAAAATATTATTTATCTTTTTAAATTAATGAAGATAGAGATTTTTTAAATTTATCTCGTTTTTTGCATTAGATGATTACATTTTTTTTTCAATAAAAATATTATTTTTTATTAATTTGATGTAAAAAAATCTATAAATAAATAATATATAGACAAGTTAATTCCACGTACATGTGGAGGTTTATGGTGGTTAGTGGGGTTGGACATTTGTGTACATGCAAATCTCATGCACATCGAGATTCACCGCTAAATAGTGATTCTCGGGTCAAAGATCAACTATTGAAATATCGGAGTCGGAAGTCAAATATCAGATTTTCATTTTTTTTTTTTTACTTTAAAATGAAAAATCAACGGTCAGATGTTCTTTATTTTCTTTCCATCATTTCGTTTTCTGGAATGAAAACCCAACCAGCCGTTTTGTTTCTTTAAGATAGAAACTCTATTTTATTTTACTCGTTTTTACATTTTACTTTTGGTAATATTGTTTTTCTTTTTGTTGGAAATCATATTCCTGGTCAACTTTGCAATCGTAAAGCTGAGATCAGACTTCTTTAATAAAAAAAAAGAAGCACATCTATGCATATAATTTTTAGATTTTAATATAATTTTAATTATTACCGATTATGTTGAGTTCGATTGATTTTTCAATAATATAAAGAGTGAGAGATTCTGTGTTTACTATTTTCTTTTATGTAGTCCATTATATTAAATTATTTTTTTATTTGAATAAAGAGAACTGAAATGTTTTATCTTTTACTTCGAGAAAGAATTCATTTTATAGAACTTTTATGAACTCTTTTATCACATAAGTTATCATATATATTTTTTGAAATCTCACAGCTCATCCTTATCAGAAGTTAACTTTTCTAATTTTATATATGAAGTTAACTTTTCTAATTTTATATAATATAATTAATATATATATATATTATATATATTATATATATTATATAGTATTTCAAATAAGAGTGTGCATGAATTAATCATCAAAGCAGTAACAAAATATATATTTCAAATAAGAGTGTGATGAATAATCATCAAAGCAGTAACAAAAGCAATAATTAATAAAAAAAAAAAAAATACTGCATTAGGTTATCCTGTCTTGTCTTGTCTGTGTATCCTGATCAAAGTCATTGTCACTGTTAATAATAATTTATTAGTTAGAAATGCACATTTTATTAACGTGACCTGTGCATAATTAACAGTATTAAGCAGTGGAGAATAGTACTTTCGAGTCACGCAAAACTTAATGTGTTTATATAATGTAAATGACAGTTAGATCTTAAGTTCGATAGGTACTTAGGAAAATTTAACTATAATGTAATTGAAATTTGTCTGAAAAATAATAATAATAATAATAAAAAAGCATGTATCACAATGAGAGATGACTAGAAAGTCTAAATAAAGATAGAATTTGCGTAATTTTTTATTCTTATTGTCTCTTGAGAAGAAGACAGCGTGCAAATAGAAATTAATCCCATGTTTTTATCACCAATAATGTCAATAATTAACATGGACAACATAATTACGTACAAGAAAATAAAAGCAAATTCCAAAATGTGTCGTCAAAATTCTAATCCTCCATGTTTCTGGCAAAGCTTTTTATAATTATTATCTTTGGTTTCGAATTATATGACGATGATGCACATTACAAATGTGATTAATTAATTTAACGTGCCATAAATTGCCGTATTATGGAGGGGAAAACCTCCGAAAATGACTAATTTTTTTGTTAAACACACAAATAAATCTATTTCTTTTCCATTTATTATTTCAAACAAATGCTTAAGCTCAATATACCAGAAACCGAGCATGCTCCTCTTATATATAACATAATATTGAGAGAAAAAATGATATATGAAAATTTAAAAATGTAATTTTGTTTATGTCTTTTTGTTTCTAAAGATAATGCTACTAAAGCTGTATTAGATACAAATGGATCACTTGTATGAATGTGACCAGCAAGATTGCTAGAGCTAAAAGAAGCTATTTTTCAGATTTTTGTTATGTCTTTTATTTTCAAGGTTTGTTAGGTTTGAAGTACATGACAAGGAAAGTCCTTCCCGTTATTAATTTTCATAAATTTGATTACAATTCGTTTATAGTAAAAAAATAAATAAAATTAATAAAACAGTCAATAAGAACAGCTTGAATGATTTCGGAGACTGAAAGAGAAAAAAAAAAAAAAAAGAAAACATTTATGCTTTCTATTATTTTCCATATTAGACAACACGTACAACAAATAATAGACATGATGATGTTACACGAGACTGTTTTGAAGTTAAAAATCCTACACCCTAATTACAGAGAGGATGAATAACAAGAGGCAGCCCCAAACTAGGTCTTAAAGAAAGCATAATAGAAGGGGAATGAGAATAAGTTGGAGAGACAGAAAAAGAAAACCTAGTAAGTATCAAGGATAAAACAACTTTATACTCCATCATAGCCAAATTCCTACCTACACACATTCTTCCTCCAAACCCAAAAGGTAAAAACCCCATTTTGTGTTTACACCCACCATACAAGTCATCTTTGAACCTCTCTGGTTTGAACTCGTAAACATCTTCTCCCCATAGATTAGGGTCATGGTGCATAGCAACAAGATCAATCCAAACGTTTGTTCCTTTAGGGACTGTCAGCTCATTTACTGTAATATCATCTCTTGTTTGCCGTTGTACGTTAGGCGATGATGGGTAAAGCCTCAAAACTTCATTCCAAACCCATTCCATCTGCAAACACAATAATTTAATTTTAGTGCATTTATTTCCCTCGTGGTTCTTATGTCTAATGGTGTAATAAGTTAGCAAACAAAACAAGCTAAATTTAGGAGCTTTTGCACTAGTTACTATTGGTTTGCGGCACCGGCCGTCTGGCCGGTTAGATGTGTAGCCATGGCCGGTTCTGCCACAAGCACTTTTGGCTGGTCAAAGCCACTGGGGTTGTCAGGTTTTCAAAAAGTGAGAATTTGTTTTGACATTGCTATCTGTGACACTGATGTGTCTTTCTGTAACTATTCTCTTTCGCTTTTTTTTTTTTTTTTTTTTTTTTTTTTTTTTTTTTTTTTTTTGTGTCACTTTGGAGTTGGAGGAGCAAAGAAAAATGCGATCGCGTGCGTGTTTTTTTTTTTTTTTTTTTTTTTTTTGGCACTTTGGAGTTTGGAGGAGCAAAGAAAAATGCGATCGCGTGCGTGTGGACTATTGCTCGTGTTGGGTTTGACCTTGACTCTTTGAATTTGGTACCTGTAGTGAAAAGTGAAAAGTGAAAACCACGCAATTATTGTCTAATGCTAGTCTTCAATGCCAATTCTAATATTTCAAACTACAAAATAGGTATTTCTTGCTTTTAAAACTCTCCATGCAGCAAAGTCAGACACTAAAATTATGTTAGTCATATTATTTTTTTTTAGAACCATGTACGAGATTTAGAGTGTAAATATTTTGGTTATTTTGAGTTTTCTAAATATTAAATTCGTATTTTCACTTTTATAAAGAATTAGATTTTTTATCAACCAAACCAGTATTTTGTTGGTATAATCATATTGAATTATTGAAATCAAGTTTTAATGGAAACATTTTAACAGTTAAAATTTGCAGTAAGTGCAAATTGTGGTTTTTTCTAATTGGATGAAAAAATGCATAATAAAAACATATTTTTCTCCTTTTGGAAACCATGTTATTTATATACAATTAATTTTTTTGCCTATATTATGTGTATAGTCAGGTCCATGCGTCAAGCCAATCAATAAATGATTTTTTTTTTTAATATTTATGTTTCATTTTTTTCTCAATGTATAGTCAGAAACACTCTTTTATAAATCAAAACATTGTTTATAATTGGTTTAATACATAGGTGAGCTCTTGTAAACGTACAAAAAACTCATAATAAAGCAAACAAAGAGAACGTGCATCGAGAAATATGTGCATGTGATAATAATATGACTATACAAGCAATGGGTTAATATATTACCTTCTTAAGTCCAGCGAGCATAGAGAAATCAATCTCTTTATCTCCTATAATTTGTTTAATCTCATCTCTCAATCTGTTCTGCCACTGTGGATGCATTGCCAAAAGCAGCAAACTCCATGATAATGCCAATGCTGTAGTCTCATACCCACCAAAAAAGAAAGTTTTGCATTCATCTACTAATTCTCGAGTTGTCAATGTCTTCCCCAACTGTCCATCTTCATGATTCTCTCCTAGCAGGAACCCTAATAAATCTTTTTGAAGTTTTCCGCCATTTTTAGATTTTTTCCGATCTCTAATAATTGATAAAAGAAGGTCATCTATTTCTTTTCCAAGACTTTTAGCCTTTAGCGATTGCTTTGGGCACAACAACTTGCTAAAGGGCACCCCTACGTAGCGGTTAGTTTTGAAGAGAGTATATTGCATTGCCCTTAATTTTTCTATAACTTCTCTTCCATCTTCGTAGCCTATTCCAAAACTTGTCTTGGCTATGATTTCTCCTGCTATTGCAATTATTTCTCTCTCGACGTCAATTTCTTTGTAGCCAGAATTTACTAGGGCTCCCCACTTGTCTAGCATATTAGTGGTGGACTCCACCATTAAGCTTGTCATAGCCTGAATAGGTAAACATATATAGGTCAAGCAACATAATTTAATTAGTGGGTTTAATATATAATTCTACAATTAAATTACAATATCCCAGTAGGTAGCTAGATATATATATTATCTAATTAATCTTGTAAAAGTAACTCTTGGCATGTCTTTATAATTTATATATATAATTATACTAATGAAGTCCTAATTCAAATATAACAGATTACCATTGCTGACCTTTTTTATGACGAAGTTAATAAATTCTAACCATCCCTTCAACATAAGTTTTACCCACCAACCTATTTGATCATTTTCTTTTTTCAGTTTAGCCATCATTTAGAAGAAAATTAACTGTACTATTTGGAAAATCATTCACATACTTCATCCATTTTTACTCCGTACTAACAAATGACAAGTCTTTAATGCATCAACTTTACCTATATTAACACTGTAAGGCTGAAATGAGGAGGTAAGAATATCATCTTTCATAATTAAAGATCTTGAGTTTAAGTCCTGTATATTAGGTTTCTTCAAATCTATATTAGTCGAGTTCACAAGCTTCCAATGCGGGATAAAGTACAGGACTGCCATATTATCAATTGATCAAAATAATTTCTTTGTAGTTAATGCATGTGTGTGTGTGCGCGCGAGAGAGAGAGAGAGAGAGAGAGAGAGAGAGAGAGGGATTATAACCTTCAAGTTGGCCGGAGAGAGTGCGGGAGTGATAAAATGGCGGTGACGAACCCAATCATCACCTTCAGCCATATTCAAACCATTACCAAACATGGGCTTCCTGTCATTCTTAAACACGTCGGGCTTTCCCCAGCTCTTCCCCATCACTCCTGTAGACATTTTTTTAAGGAATTCTGGCTCTGCTATGTATAAAAATGGCTCTGTACCTAACCAATATATGAACACCTTCCCTGCAACACAAAAATATCATCACTATTATCTACCATCTCCAGTCTCACTTTTACTACATAAATGATTAGTTTCTACTTTGGACTTTTTTTTTTCGTTTGGAACTGATGCCAACAGGACCGTGTTAAAACTCCTTCGCATTTTTTTTTTTTTCATATAAAACATTAGGAAAAACAAGTAAGCTTTGTCTTTTTCTTTTCTTTTTTTTTTTCGGGTACAAAGCGAATCAAAATACTTAAAGAAAACAAATTGAGCTAAACCAAAGTTGAGATAAGAAACTCCACAAATATCATGAACATGAAGCAACCATTGCATAAACTTTGTTTTGATAGTACTGAAAATGTCTTCAGAGCTGTCAAGTTTGAAGTTTGAGTTCCATAGCTAATCATAATAAACAAAAAAAAAAAAATTGAAGTATTAAAAAAATAGTAATATATAAATATAACAAATACCATGAGATTTCTGCCATTGAGCGAAGTAAGGAAGAACAGTAGGGTGAATATCATTGGAGAAGTTTAAGGATCCAGAAGAAGTACTACTTGTACTGATTTTTTTCATCTCCACAATATTTCCAAGAGGGAATTTTGGAGTTGGACCTCCAAACCCATTTTTTTTAAGCTTCATATATGTCATAACAGGTGAGATCCAGAAAGAAATCAATAGTTTAAACAACAAGTAGATGAAAACACTGAGTATACTTAAATGAAAAACTTTAAATATCAGAAGAAACTCCATATCTTTTCTCTATGGATCTAAAACACACAGAATGATTAAGCCGATTTATTAGAACAAAAGAAAATTAATGTCTTTGAACTTCCTCGCTAACTATCGGTATAGAGAGGCTACAGGTAGGTTTTGTCTATCAAAAGAAAGCTGTTGGTGCCGGCTTATGATAACCAGATGGGTATTTATACATGAATACTTTCGGAGTTTTAACTATAGAACTGCATATTTAATTACATCTAGGTTTGTATATTATTCAACTTATTAGGTCTCTCTTTGTATCTTACACCTTTTTAAAACATAATAATCAAAAGTCTCCTGTTTTTATTCTTGTGCTTTTTACGAGCCTGTGGTTTTATTTGGTCCGTCCTTTTCTTTCATTATTTTTCGTTGAGATTTTTCTAGAGTGACTCAAATAACATAATTTTACTGAATTACAGAATAAATAATAACTTATTCTACATATTATTGTGAAATGAATAATTTTTTAATGATACATATTACTCATATTGAATTAATTTGATCACAGTGTTTGATATTATATTTTTAATTTTTTTACTATATTTTTAATCACAAGTAGCAGAATTTGAAAAAAAAAATACATCATGTGTTATTTTGCCTCTTGAAAAAAAACCCTAACTCCATCGCTGATGAGAGAATGCTCATTGGAGATGTGAATTGTTAATTTCACCGTAAAATGCCGTGTTATGGTGTCTAAGCTCTAACATAATATTACGTTCCCTCCAGTCCCCTCCTTCTTTCCCTGCATGGATGGTTGATGAAATAGTTGAATACTGCCATTTTTATTTTCTTTTTTAATTTTAAATCCCTAATTTGCTGGGTTATCCCACGTCGGTTGTGAAAGGGGCTGATGATCAAGTTATAAGTGTGAGGGAAAATCTCACCTCTTGAGCTAACTTTTGAGGTTGAGAAGGACCAAGATCACCTATCATAATTAAGATTACACGTTGATTATGGATTTTGCTATTCTAACTCTTTTATTTTTAGGGGGTCTAGTCCCCAAAATCTTATGAAAATTTTGTTATTTTATATCTTGAGAAAAAATCAGATACTGCAGAGATTATGATTTTTACATATAACTTTTGAATGCTTACGTATAATAAATAATTTTTATAATAATATATTTTTCCAGTGTTGTAACGAAAATAAGAAAACGCGTAATCACATGTAATTTTGAGGTGCAATGTCCACTACTACTGCAAAATGGGTCAAACCCTGAAATCCAGGATTCAAGCCTGACATGTTAACCTCCATGGCCCCTATGATCAAGTTATAAGTGTGAGGGAAAATCTCACCTCTTGAGCTAACTTTTGAGGTTGAGAAGGACCAAGATCACCTATCATAATTAAGATTACACGTTGATTATGGATTTTGCTATTCTAACTCTTTTATTTTTAGGGGGTCTAGTCCCCAAAATCTTATGAAAATTTTGTTATTTTATATCTTGAGAAAAAATCAGATACTGCAGAGATTATGATTTTTACATATAACTTTTGAATGCTTACGTATAATAAATAATTTTTATAATAATATATTTTTCCAGTGTTGTAACGAAAATAAGAAAACGCGTAATCACATGTAATTTTGAGGTGCAATGTCCACTACTACTGCAAAATGGGTCAAACCCTGAAATCCAGGATTCAAGCCTGACATGTTAACCTCCATGGCCCCTAATTTATCTTGGGCCTTCCTTTTCTTTTCTTTTTCAATTTAATTGTTATTTTGAAAAAAAAGGCTCAAGCTTATTATAATGGAGTCCAATTTCAGACAATCAAAGTCTTCCCTTTTATTAATTTACAACTAAAACACTAAAAGCTGCATGGGATATACACTAAATAAATGGACTTGTATGAATGTGACCTGCAGCATTGCTAGAGCTAAAAAAAGCCATTTTTGAGATTATTATTATTTTTTTAAAGTACCTAAAAAAATTGTACTCGAAAAAGTTATTATTTGAACCGCGTAATGCACATGTAGTGGTCCGTTTTTCTTTTTGGACTGCCTTATTAATTATTTTTATTATTATTAGCTCTGCAATGATGGTCGGTGTGTGCAATAATACAGATAATATTGGACCATTAACTACCAATTTAAGAGCTTGTAGACCCAACTAACTTTTCTGTTCAGTCAAAACTAGTAGCAGCAGCCGTTATCTCCACAATTATCAACTCTTCTATTTTCTCTCTCACAAACATATATATATATATATATATACTTTTTTTTTTACGGCGCTTGTGTTTTCAACAAATTGTGCTAAACCTAATTTATTCGCACCGAATTATAAAAAGAAAGTACTTTCAGTTTACAATGATTAAACGCTCAAACTCTACTTAAAATAAAATTGCAACGTTATTATTGTAACTCATGTGATATTTAATTAGCAGCAGAAAATTGGGTTGACATAAACTTATAATCAAGCTAGCTATATGACCTGATTTGTACTCTAAGGAGCCCACATTACTTATTTAACTATTCAGTATTCACACAAGTCCTTCCATTTACTAAATAATAAATCAGTTGCATGTATGTGTGACAGATTTATTAATATATAACATATTTCTCCATTTGTTTATGATTTTTGGATTGTGCAATTTGGTTGACTTAAATTAATAATGTAAACATCCTTTTCGTTAATAAATTAATATATGAAAAAAAAAATTGTTTTCTTTCATTTTATTATTATCCCACACGAGTATAAAGTGTTTAGTCAAAATATAAGATTTGTGAAATCCTTCTCTCCGTGAAATAATTTTTAGAAAGTGAGATAGACTATTTCCAATTTATAAATTTGATATTAAAATTCACTTAATTTCGGTATATTTATATGATAAAATTGATTCATTTTGAAATATTGCATTTTAGAAGTCATCAACTAAAAGCATGCAAATATCATGTCAGATATATTTAGCATTTTTCTTTTTATGTGGTGGAGATGAGATGGGAATGATGCAATTTTGCTTAATTTTTGCAGCCATTCTTTTAAGTTTGAAACATCAATCGTGAAAATTGTGACATTTTGTATGAGACGTCTCATTGGATAGGCGGTCCCACACAACATGAAAAATCTATTCATCTTTCATAATTTATTTTAAATATTAAATATTACTTTCATTTGGATTAAAAAATAAATGCATTGTTTGGGTTTTTTAATCTATAAATTAATACAGTGCGCTGAATGTAGGTAGAATTTCAATTTATGGACAGACAATACTAAAGTTTAAATATTTAACTCTAAAAATTATTCAATAGTCACCGAATTAGCTAGCAAATGAAATCATTAGTAATCAACAATTAAATTATTATCGATAATCGTTAATCACAATTTACCAGTTACGGAAAATGGCAGATATTTTTATTTTTATTTATTTGATCTATAGATGAGCCTTGATCTGGATTTAGACAAATATTTTCTTTTATTTATTTAGTAAAAACAATAAATTAAAAGTGAGATTTGAAGAGTGAATATAAACAATATTAATGGGGTTGACCTAAATTTTCTTGGTACGTGTTTGGACCATATAGAGCTCGTATCATATATTTTTGGAACACAACGGTCTTGGCATTTATCATGTGATATTAGTACTTTTAGCCGCATTATTTTACCAATTTTTTAACCTAAAACAACGAAGAAAATACTCCAATTTGATTTTTGAACCTCTTGCTATACTATCAATCATATATGTTTCTTTTTTTATATATTATATTTTCTTCACAAAAATAGTCAAAATCATTGCACCTTTTTTAATATAATATTTAGGATAAAAAAGCAAAAACGATATCTTTCTGTCTTCCTTTTTATTGTTTTTTTCCTCCCCTAAATAAACAAAAAAACATTGATTTTCTTCTTTTTCTTTTTGTCGTGCAATAAGCCAGTAACTCTACAGTATATAATATGAGATGTTGCATTACCCTTTTCTTCATTGCATTTCACATTTTTCATACCATCTAATTACAGAATAATTATTATTATTATTATTATTATTATGGGGATTTTATATTTATTTCATTTTATATATTAAATTATTAAATTTTAATTGCTGTATGTTAAACAACTCCTTATAATTAAGTTTAATTTTAATATTTTCATGTTGACGATAAAACAATATTCCTAAAATAATATTTTTTTCAAATTGCAATTTAACAAATTTTAAATTTTCAATGAATTCACCAGCATATAATAGTTAATAAATGAATTAATTTCTTTTCCTTTTTAAGATTCAAGAAAATTGTGAATCTAATTACTTCAACCAACTGCAAATTTTCTTGAGCGTTTCATTTCGGTATTTTCATGTCTGGTTTTAATGTTGAGAGATAAAAATAAACCGTAAAGCCCTTGATTTTGGGTGCTAGGAGAAATTAAAATTCAATCTTAACCGTAAATTTGTTTTCCTGTTGTCCTGTTTTTGTTAGTAGATTGTACTTCTTTCCTTCTCTTCTTTATTTCTTGATTTATTTTTTCGAAACAAGGGAAACTATTCCTTCAAGATACGGACGACAGGAACTGTAGTGAAAGTTTTCCCCTTGATGTTGGTAACTTACAGTCAGGTTGTCTTAGGACTGCAAGCCCAACTTTTGAGTAATAAAAAACAGACTGGGCCTAGAAAACAAAAATCTTCGTTAATTGGACTCTAACTAGTTCGAATTTGAAAGAAAAAATTTTCACCATAAATTGGACCTTTTTAATGGGCCAATCATTAGTGGTAACCGAGCCCACTTAACACTGAAGAGTCGGTTACGTTCTCGTTCAAAGTTGAAGAAATGAGAATCGAGGGAGAAGGCAGAGCAAAAGATCGCGCTCTGTGGTTGCGTAGGGTTCTCGTCCATGGAAGAAAAAAAAACCGTAAAAATCTCTAAACGCAACTTCACTGGCACTGTACAAGACCCGCCATTACGAACTCAATCCAGAAGAAGAAAGTTCAGCAATGTTGACCTCTGTAGCTCCTCCTACTTCAAACTTCGCGCTCTTGTTCGACAACTTCGTCCCCAATTTATCCAGGTGACGAGTTTTCCATATAGCTATATGTTTTTCTTTATATATATATATTTTTTATTTTTGATTCTTTGTTGCTATGGGGAATGACTCTGTTGCTGTTGCTTTTTCTTTTTCTTCTTCTTCTTTGTTTTTTTTTTTTGTTGAGTCGTGCTATTTGCTGTTTCCGTCCATTTTCATGCGGAAGTTTGGCTTCTTGTTCATTAATGGCATGCGGACGGAAACTTTATCTTTAGCTTAATCCTTCGGTTTAATTTAATCTTTATCTTTATCTTCTTGTTATAATTTCTGTTTTAGTTAGTTCGTTTTGCTGATAACTGTGAATTGAGAAACTTTGGCTACTTGTTCTTGGGAATGCTTAATTTATCGGTGTTCAGATTTTAGTTGTTGGAGGACAATAGCTCCATAATCCATCAATCGAAGGAAATACTACATCAGAAGAATTTTTCTCATTTTCCGGTTGACTCATAACGCAAATTGATATCTGGACATATTTATCATTCCAATTTTTACCTATATCGACTTAATAATTCTCCGCTCTTCAGATGCAAATATTCTAGAATTTCAGTTGCGTTGTGTTCTTGAGGTTCTTATTGTTGAATACTGCCCCCTTAGACAAATGCATTTGAAAACTTGTATGGTTTTCAAACTGTAATCACATGTTGCTTTAGCATACTAAACACTTTTTTGGATCTTCTAATTGTGGAATATATGTTGTTTGGAGTTTCAAGGCAAGCAAGCTCATTAACTATGGGTAATAGATTACTTTGTGCAATATAGTCTAGTAAAATTCTGTCATTCATGGTAGAACTTGATCATATTTGTTTCTTGGTAAAAGGAAGCCAGAATGATCAAGACCGTATTTGCTGGGTGTTGAATTTTGTTATGTAACTGGGCTTTTGTAGCTATCACTTTTCTGGTTTGTTCTTAACTTGATTACTGTCAGCGGGTATTGCTTTATAGTGTAAGATTCTAACTTGAAAATTCTGGATGGAGATGAGGAAGTGGTGTTGTGTTGCAAGGGATGTGTGGATGTTGAGATTGAAGGAGGCTCCTCTTCATTTGCTGATTCAGGATGCTAAATTCAGCATGGCATCAATTTTAAGAGTATTCTTTTGAAAACTTTTACCGAGAAATTTTGCTTCAATGTGCTTAATTGATCTATAGGTTTGCCCTGTTATTCCTGTATGTTAACTTCAAGAATATGTTTTCTTTGTGCTATATTTTCGCTCAAATGACTAATTGATTTGCCAAGGCAACATGTGAAGCCCAACTACTGCAACCGATAGTACCAACATGTTTACCCCTGCTTGACACCAAATTCAAGACCCATGAATGTCCATACAAACATTGTTCTCAACGATCATATTGTGATGGATCACAATTAAAAACTGCCTTATTATTGTAATATAATTTTTATTTTAGCCTGACAGTTTAGGTAGAATCTAATGAGAAGGTGAGATTAGCCTACTTCCTCTTGCTCTATTGAATCCTGAAGCCATTAATGAAATTTTCTGCTTGGACCATGCAAGTTAATAGATCTTTATTTGATTATTGATAGCAGCACATGCGTTATTGGAGGGCTTGGGGAACTAGTGTTGATGTGCATTAGATTGAGCTGATATACCTTACCATGTTTTTTTGACATCTTGAAATGTTTATACCAGTTGGAACAGGGCACCCACTTCTATGTACTGATATTAGAAGTTGTAATAGGAACATGCGGCATTATGCCTTTAGTGATATTTTTAGTTGAGCTGATCTATGATTTATAATCCTCTCACTATTATTCTTATGAATGCCAAACATGATAAACAAATTATTAATGGCCCAAAGGGATGACTGATTTGAATATACAAAATATTAAAGCTGGATCTTTGTTAGGTATTTACTTTGAATTTTTGCTATGTCAAGTTCTGTAACACTTGTGCATACGTGATACTTGTGGGAATTATCTATCATGCAATTGTTTTATTAGACAGTTTCCTCTTAACTCTTTGATGCAAGGTTTTGATATGAAGTTAACGAAACAAGAGTTATTGTAATATCTTGCTGCTTTCTCTAATGTAACTCCATCGAAGATTAGGTTATTTCATTCTAATTGGCTCCTTTGCCCTTGAGTGTGTTGTAAAGTATGCTAAAACCTGGTTTTAAATGCAGATACTCCAGACACCTGACTTCAAGAATAGCAAGGCAGCTCATGAACTTCGAATACGTTAGTCCTCATATTTTAAGTCTTTTTGATTCTTTTCCTTTTGGTTTGATATACATTGGCCAGGCTCTCTCTCTCTCTCTCTATATATCTGTCTATCTACATATGTATATAGATCTTCTGTACGGGAAGAGAAGCTCACTTAGCTCAGAGTATCTTTTTCTTAAAGCATACTAGGCAACTCATATTTATGTTTCAAACTTGCAGAAATGAATCTTGTGATGGATTTGTACAAGCGGATGATTACCATGGAGGCAGACACCGTTAAGAAGATTGGGTTAGAACATCAACCTTTATCAGGTCAAAATGTGCCTGGTAAACAATCCTGGAACAGACACCAAGATGAAAAGGTACCAGAATTGCATCAATTTAGACAGCCATCAGATCGATCTGCAAAAAAGAAACCTCCAAAATATTTGAAGTCAAAGATAAAGCGTGATGATGTACATGACCGAAACAGCTATATTGTGGGTGGTTCAGTTTTTGGTTGGAACTTCGTCACATTTGGAGGCAGTAAGCCAGTTTACTATGGGGTCACAAAAGAGTCCTTCAGAAAAACCCTTAAAAGTAAAAGGTCAGGAACTGGTGTATCTTCCCATTATACCTGACACTCTGAGCCTGAAGTAATAACATGAAAATGCATATTATATAGTGGAGTCACCTTTGAATAGTTATAGAAGCCAGAAATATTCATTTTTTGCTCCAAACAAGTGAAATTTTTTTGATGGCGACAAGGCAATTGTTGTAAAGTTGGCATGAACAGGAATGCCGGCCCCTTTTTGGTATTACTGAGATGGGCAAGGAATGATTCAGCATTCATTCATATTACATTGTCTTTCTTTTTTGGTAGTATCTAGCGGTTTCATGTTTTCAGTTTCTGGAATGTATCTGTCAGTGTACTATCGACTTGGTCATGGTGATTTTTAGTTGCATTCGACGGAATGCAGCGGATAAGTGGTCAGGGGGGTGAAAACCACCAAAAACTAAAAACTAAACTGACCCATTTTGGCATCGTTCAACCGAATTTGCTGTTCGGTTCGAGTTGGTTTCGTAAAAATTCGTCGTTTGGACTTACATTTGAATTGACTGGTTTGATTCGAGTCGGCTGATGCGAAATTTTGTAAAAAAATTTCATTTTTTTTTGGTTCAATTCGAACTGCATCGACCGTTTGCGCTCACCCCTAGAAGCGGTTCCTAATGACCTGAGTCTGTTCGGGATTTTTTGATTTTTGGAAAAAAAAAAAAAAAGAATTGATATCGTCTTAGCCTTGTTAAAAAGCTTTAGATGTTTATTGATTGGTAGGCCATAAATATTTGACCAATGCCTTAATCCTACATGCCAAAATTGTTTCTAATTTGCGTATATGATAACTTGGAAAAAAGATGTCACCAGCTGTCACCGCCAGCTCACTTGAGCGGCTTAAACGAATAATTAAAAATTTATTTATTTAGTCTTAAAAAAAATTACAACGGCCCCGAAAACCGCTCGTAGCCTACCAACCTACTTCTCGAGACAGTTAAAAAGGGAAATTTGTGTAACTAATTGCAATGAAATTAAATAGATTTTCATTTTCATTGGCTAGTCCGTACAAGAAGTGACGGAATGAGTCTATCCAATAATTGTAAAAAGAACAGAAAAAAAATCCAGTTAACCACTAACTCGAAGAAGATGAACAAAATTTGAGAGGATTGATAACGGGCAGTGATATCAATCCTTTTAGAAGTCATGGAAGAGCATTATAGCGTCATCAAGATTCATCTGCGATGACTCCATCAGAATTCTCATTTTTCTAAGATTATCGTACTTCTTTTGCATCGGCCCCTCACGTTTGTCAGGTGGGATATCTAAAATCTGAAACAAGTTAACAGAATAATTTGATTAATTACCAGAGAATAATATATTTATGGTGGGATAAGCGGAATTTATGAATTTAATTGCAGGCAGCACTTTATTAGAGAAAAATACTAAAAATGACAAGATTTTCAAGAACATCTTATATCTATGAGAAATCGTTTGCCCATGGGATATGCAATGTAATCCAAAGGGTGGGGTTGCAGAACAGAAAGGGGAGAAGTTCTTCAAACCTCCTTATTCTGTTCCAGCTCATAAGCCACTCGGATACTCAAATTTAAGGCAGCGTGGAACATCTCGTCCAGTACATGTTCCCAAAGGACGAGCTTATTCACCTTCCACAACAAGAAGGTTGCTGTCCCTGCTATTAATTTCTGCATCGACAAAAGAAACAGTGAAAATATTCCAATCCTACAATTAACATATACAAGTATGTATATACACGCACAAACACAGCAAGATAAACTGGCACACAGACAAATCAACAGGAAGGCTCATTTACCTCCATTATCAGATAGTCATCTTGCCACAACTTATAAAGAATCTGAGTTGTGTCTTTCTTTTCAACAAATACAGCATCTGCAATCTATAAAGGGAAAAAAAATGAAAAGAAAAAGAAATGAGGACCATACTGAACAAAACCCAAAAGAAACAAATCAGCTCAAACAAAAAGTTTGCATGGCATAATGTCTTAAGCACATAAAAGTGAAATGGACATCTGACTCTATTAGATGATTTGCTGTAGCAAACTTTGCACAACTGCAAACGAGAGTATTTGATTTGACTGAACCACAAGCATAGAGGAACAAAGTACAAGTGTTCAACCAGCTAGGTGATCTTGTTCAAAGAAAAAAAGAAAGAAAGAAAGAAAGAAAGAAAGGAGAGTGCAAACTTCATAAACCACCTGTCTCTCCTCTCTTCAATATAAAGTGCCATGCACACCTAACACCTAACCATTGTGTCTGTCAAGTAAATTATGGCGTATTGGAAATCTGTATATTTATCCTTCCAGTATTTCCAATACTGGGTATTCGAGCCTATTCATGGGTTCCAACTTAATACCTTATCAGTCTCAAGTAGGCGACCAGCCTTTAATAGTAACCTAAACATTCTATAAGCATCTGTTCCATGTCTTTTCAACACAATTGACTCCACCTGAAACACAGGAATAATCAGTCATATATTTCACTGAATTCAAGACCAGTGTATCAAATTTTGGGCAAAACTCATAAAGCAAATGGACCTCATCACTCTGAGCTACTTCAATAGTATGCTTGAAATCTGCATAAGACGTACAAAATTATCACTAGAAAGCAAAGTGATTATTCACTAAAACAGAAGATTTAGTTCCATCTTAGAAAGAAACCATAATATTTCAAACAGAAATTAACTGGAACAAGGATAGATGGTACCTATACTATATGATTCATCATCCACCCTCACAAATGACGGAGGAGAGGTCAACTGAACAAGGGCAGCTCTAACATGATCAAAGGTCATGTTACGGCCTTTTTCAGACTTAATTACCTCTTCATAAATGGAATTCACCGACAGCGGAACTGCAAAACGTATTAGTATCAGTAATGTAAAACAGATAAAAATGGCAGCGAGAAGTGTATTTTTGTATTTTTTTACTCTTTATTTCTTTTTAAATTGCTTTCTTTTAGCAAAAACATGTAAACAATATGAAAAATATAAGCATTGGCTGCTATCAACTAATTTAATTAGGACTGAAGCTTAGTTGTTGTTGTTGGAAAAATATATGCATAAAGCAAAAATGAATAAATTAAAGTACTAAGCGAGTCACAATTAACAATATATTAACCTAATTTCTTATGAAATGATATTTATGAGATATTTTTTACAAAGATATCTTCTCAGTAAATCTCATTAGAAAGCAACACCAGGGATTAAAAGGTACAACATCAGAAGGTTATATTGAATCAAACTTAATTTAGCTCTGGCTAGATGGAACACAGAGAACTAATACAAAGCAAATTCTTAAATTTTGCCTCCGCATAAATACATAAATTCAACAACTATAACAAAATTTTTGTGTGTCCAGCGCTCCAATTCTCAAATCTATATACAAGGATCCTTAGTTGCATACATCAATTTATAGAAAACATTCTTCCACACATATTTTTTTGGATCTTTCTTTGGGCCACATCTATGGAAATGTTTATTATCATTTTAATTTGAACCAAAGCAATTCGTTAAGAAATCATGTCACCTGAACTTGCTGTTTTCACTTTCTTCTCTTCAGTTTTGGATGCCTCTAGCATTGCACTTACAACAATGGCAGCTCCATCATCCAGCCGTGCTTTCACATTCTCAACACAAGCCTAGTATGTAGCAGAACAGTAAACATCATTTGCATATCAGTAAACAAAGAAGCACATCAAAAGATTAAGAGGAACACACAACATCAGGTGCACTCAGAAAATTTCATAGGGTAAAAACAAATTCTTTCCTCCAACATCTCGAACATGTTATTTTACCATCTGAAAATTTTATTTAAATCAAAATCAATAGAAGTTTCAGAATAGCAAATTGCAATTTTTGTAAATCGGCCTATGTATGCACCACATGGCTGCTTACATGATTTTCTGAGACCATCTTACACAGACACACATGCCTCATTCAATCCAACATCTCCAGGAAGCATGTTATGCGGAGAGTAGAAATATTAAGAAAGAGAATTAACACTATTTAAAAGCTGAATAGAGCAGCAATCTTCCTGCCCTAAGCAATTCAAGACATTAAATATTTTCCTTGATAATGAAGACTATACACATTATCAGCAAGAAGAAGTTAAAAGTTTAACCAAACATTTCTGATGCAAGATTTATAGGAGAACTATCGTACTATCACTTGTTTGAGTATGCAAGTAGAATAAGATGAAAAGGATAAGTAAAACCAACCTTATGCCTAAGACGACGAATAAATTCCTCAAAATTAGCACGCCAAAGAACTACTTCATCTTTTGTAGTCTCGCTATCTATATCAGGCTCTGAAGCATCAAGCTTGCGCTATAAATGTGACATTGAAAGATTAGTACAAGAGGAAACTTCAAAATTTAACAAATAATTAACAAACAACCTTGTCTCCAGAATGTTTGTCGGGGGATTTATTCTGATCCTTTTCTCCATCATCATTGAGTTCAATATCCATTACAAGTGAAAATCTTTTTGCTTCCATAGGCAGTGCTGCTGCTAGAGCACGCTGCTCTAAGGTTTCTGGTTCCACAACTATCTGCAAGCATTAGTGGAAAGGAAATTTGTTAATAAATGAGAACTATCTTTAGAATACAAAATGCAGAATGATGGCATAATCTATTGATAACAGGGAAGGTGACAATGATGTCACAATTGATAGCTGAATCATAATATCTTAACTCTTTCAGAAACAAAGTCACAAATTCATTGCCATTTGTGAATAGACATACTTGACCAGGGACAGACATAAATAAATGCATAAAGAGAAGAAGAAATTTCTGTATGTTCGTCTTTATCCTTTTTGCTTTTCCCACAGAAGAATGCAAAGTATCCTATCAATCTCCAGAGGATTAATCCCAACTCCCAGTTTACCCCTCATGGATTGAGGATTCACCATTTCAACAACAAGCCTCTTCAGATTTAATATTCTGAAGGAGATGCCAAAGACAACAACAGAATCTAGTAACATCAAATTTACTTATTTCCATCAGGATCCAGTTGTTCTTTCATCTTAAGAACTTATCACATCATGTACTTGCCCATAAATAAGAAAACAACAATTATTTTTATTTTATATATAACATATAGGAACATACTGATAGATTTTATGCAAATAAACAATAACCTTAGCAGACTTAGCACCTCGCTTCTTTGCAGGAGCATCTTCTTCATTTTGGGGTTCAAGAACTGGCTCAGGAATGGGGCAGTGTTCAACGTAACGGGCTGTCACAAGTTTACGGAGGCTTTCTTGTACAGCATCCAGACCTATACTATTTCCTGCAGAAAGGATGATATATTTGTTTGCTCACATTGGGGTAGGCGAATTACACTAAGTGCAACATTACAGCAGAATTATTCATCACACGTATTTTGAAAATTTAAACCAAAACACTGCTTCATCTTAATTCCAGTTTCTGCTTCCATTTTGATATAAAAAAAAATCCAATCACTATGTTCAATGGTCCCAACAAAAGAAGTTATATATATTTGAACAGGATACTGAAGTGTGAATTACCAATGTTATAATATTTTTTAACAATCTAATCTTAGTTTCAGCGGCAGCAGATCCTACATGAGAAGAAATTATAGCAGAACTAAGAAATAAATTTAGAGCATAAATGCAAGATATCCAAACAATTTGAAGAAACTTGCCTGTCTTATTGTAATTGTTGGCTCTATCAACAATTTGCTTCAGTGTAAGCCTACCATGTTGAAGCAAACCCTCGACGATGTCCACACACTGTAAAAATCATTTCACCAAAAATGAATAATCCAAATTCAAGTCAACTTCACAGAACTTGGTATGCATCAAATCAAATCTAAAACAACAAACCAATTTATCGAATTCTTGGGAGATAATCGCCAAAAATTTGGAAAACCTCATTCGATGAAGTATGTTATCAAACACTGCAATGTACTGAGTAATTTGTTTCGGTTCGTTATTCAGCCCACCTGGAAATACAACCATTCAAAAAGATTCTAAGGAAGTTGATTATTCAAATCAAGAACTGAAATTCATATTTCTAGTCTAATTTAACAATCCATTCCCAAGTATACTAACTTATTATCAAACAAAAACAAGCATAAATTGTCAGGTGTCAATATCCCTGGCTTTTTATAATATTTCTTCCAATGTCAGATCAGCCAAACAAAGAAGAAACATAAATTTATTAGAAAATTTTAAAAAGAAAAAAAAAAAAAAGCGGATTGCCTGGTTCAATTAGACGGAAAGATTGAACACAATTATGCTGAATTAAGACGAGTAAACTGTTCTTGACTGACGTTTCCTTCACACCAGTAAATCGGATTATGGCTTGGAGGTTTAGGGGTCCTCTGCGGAGAAGACATTCACAAACTTTCTGTTTAACATGAAAATTATCAGAACACATGACATAACACTATCCGTGGAGGCTTTGCACAAAGAAAGAGACTTACCCCAACTAGATTGCCAAAGTGATTGGTAATGAGGTGGGCGGCGTATTTGATACCGTGCTGAGTCTTCACCATGATTACCGTTCCCCGCAACTTCTTCCTCAGTCGCTGCTTGTACGATGGTAAAGGGAGAGGCGGGAAGAATAGATGAGAGAAGGTTGGCTAGGTTTTGCCGAAGCATATATTGCATCTATCAAAATGCTCTGTAACTTTCACTAACAGCAAGGGTTCATAGCTCAGTGGTAGAGCATTTGACTGCAGATCAAGAGGTCACCGGTTCGAAACGCGCTGGGCCCTTTTTTTTTTCAGACACATTTTTTTTTTTTTATATATATATTTTCGTTTTTTCATTTTCCTTTTTCATTTTTTCTGAAGAAGAGGCTCTATTCTTTGGTTATGTGCGAAAAGCTTAATAATTAATTTTCATTGCAATAATTACTTTATGTCATTAATTATGCAAAGGTTTTAATTATAGTACGTTTCCATGCAAATTTATTAGAATGATGATTATGTACCCTACCTTGTAAGTTGCAGAACAAAATCATTTGGGTTCATATAACCAAATTAATTAGCTTGGTGCTCCCTGAATTTTTTTGTTGTTTACAACACCGACCATTTTCATAGATAGCATCCTCAATATTCTAAAAAAAAAAAAAAGGAAAAAAGAAAATTGCCCAACCCTTAATTGCCTTAACTACAAATACGAGGCTATTTTAATATATAGAAATTCAAATTCAAAAATAATTATTGATTGCAACAAATGTACTGATAGAGCCAAGCTACAAACGACATGCCTCATTTCACATGGGAACATTGATGGATGGAGACAAATTCCCAGCCAATTGAAACGAAGTTACATGCGTTTTCCAGGACGAAATTGAAATTGTTGCCAGCTCCTATATAGATCATTGACGCTTCAAGTAATTTTCCATTAAAAAAAACACTATATCGAAAACTATAGAATATGTATATATTGCTTATGTTATACGGTCCAATATTTCAGCTAGCAAGAGAAACTAATAAATGGAGCAGGTATTTTCTTTAGGCATATTCCTCGTATGATACGAGATATTTCCTCCTCCTTTTGGAGAGAAGAACTAATAGAATTGCAAAGAAAAGTTGACAACCTAGTAAAGTGGAAGAAGAAAATGAAAAAAAGAGAAGGGACTTCTTAGCTATTTAGGTTGCAAAAGAGGAGAACAAAGAGACCCCATATGTACCAAATCGAGGGGACAAATGGATGTAAGTGCATCGCAAGAAGATCATGCGGGACATGCGTGTGGTGTGCTTCTAATACGGCCACTGCTTACCTCTTGACCTTTACCTCCAGCATCTCACATGAGAGAAAATATTGCTTACTATAGTCTATTATTGTTCTTGTAGTATACAATATGCCATTCTATAATCATCAGTCCTCTGCTACATATATAATTTCTTTCTTGTAATAGGAAGACATGTACATGACCACCGGCCAAATTCTTTCAAATCTTGTAGGATTCCAATATTATTTGCTTTAAATAATGTATTTCTTCAATCACCATTAATTGCATAAAAACTTTTACTCTCGGATTGAGTTTGTGGTTATCCCTTTTTATAATTATTTTTTCACGGATCGAACTTTTGAGAGATGGTTGGCTAAAATTCGTGGTTTACCAAATTCTTTTGTTATTGCTAATGGTGCTGTCGATGATCCTCAACAAGATACAAAAGAAATCCCGCATATTCATTGTGGAATGTTACGTCTAAAGTTGATATATATTAATGCATGCCATTTTCTGCACTATGGTATATATATATACCTCCTCTCCTTTTCAGTGGATGTCTTTTAATTTTACCCTCAAAAGATTTAAAACAAGATATCTTACATTCTGTAAAAGATATTTGTCTTAACTTTATATATATATATATATATTTTTTGAGTTGGTAATTAATTAATGAAGTAATTAAGCTAAAACAAATGAATGTTGTTGGAGAAAAGTTAAGAATCCAGAGGGCACACGTGTGGGATTTGGATATATTAATTTTTCTTGAGAGTGATACATATTTATTGATGAGACATGGATGGAGAGAGCAATAATGAAGAAGAAAAGAAGAAAAATGCTAAATAGGGTCATTTTCTTGAATGGACTAAGTGTTTAGTTTCTTCCTAACAGCTTTCGCTGTTTGATTGTTAACTCTTACCTGCCTTTGTAACCATGTACTGATTACGACTTTTATTACCATTTTTATCTTTGGTCATTTAACTGTCATTATTTCATTAATTAATTGCCTCAATGACAATTAAATAGAATATGAATATATAAATTATGTCTTTTACGCGTAAATAAAAAAAAAAAAACAAAAAGAAAAGAATACATTTATCAATAATTTTGTAAATAGCTACTTTAGTAATTTCACAAAAGAGAAAAGAATCAAATTTCACGCAGCTTGCCTAACATCCAATCACACCAAGTGTGTGAACAAAGGATATTAAATAAGTGAGTCTAACAGTCGCCAAAACACAACATTACATTAGTTCTCAACATCTCTCCTCTCCTCTCTTCTCTTCTCTTCTCTTCTCTTCTCTTGTATAGGTTTTCGATTTTCCATATCACCATCCATGTCAAAACTGCTTCATGATTGTGTAATTAGTGCAGCTGGAGAGTTCCAAAGGGATCGCATTGATCTAATGTGTATTAAATATATATTAGTGAGTTAATTATTCATTGGATCATGCGATCCCTTAGGAATTTTCCATCACTAGCTCTAAATTTATATTCCTCCCTTCCTTCCTTTCAGGTATTGTATCTTTCTTGCTAACAATAACTTGTGTATATATATATATATATATATATGTTTTCTTCTGAATTTGCATGAAACTCTCTTATTATAATTTTGATTCTTAATCAGTTGTTCTTTTCTTTGAGGACCAAGCTAATCTGAATTTAGAGGTTACTATATATGATATATAAATCACTTAAATCACATTCAATATGTGATTTACATGCTAAAAGAACTGGGAAAAGGAAAAAGAAAGAATCTTTTTCATCACCTAAATGGGTCTGGAATTTCTTGCTTCATCTCAGAAAACAATGTTCATCTATTTACTGATAGGAAATTTTGTACAGAAATTTACAGTCCTAGCTGTTTCGACCGTCTAAAGATTTTACAGACTACATAAAAAGTACATCTGCAATACTACGGTCTGAATACAGATCTCTCAGGCGTTCCAATTTACACATATATACATACTGCTTCTGTTTTGTTCTTCAGGAAGTTTTACATATAGGAAGGTATGCAGAAACATGAAATAAGGTTATTGTGCCTGCAATAATCTTTATATGCATAGTAATAGAACATAATTTTCGATTTAGGGCTTGCATGGATGCCCTTGGAGCTAGGCTTAAGTAATATGAATATCTATAGCATACGTGAAGTACTTTTCCTTCTTCTCCTTGTTTAATCTTCTGAGATGATGTCTTTTTTCTTACGATATCTATTTTCCACTCAATTTAAATTTCTCATATGTGTGGGTCTGTTACTGTGTTTGTGTTGTGAGATTTGCTTAAATGAATATGTTTCTTGTTAGTGTTTAGAATAAATTCACATGCAAGATTTCATTTGTAAATATATTATATATATATATATATATATATATATATATATATATATACTTTTATTAGTTCATATGATTTTTAAATTTAAACTTAATTTATAAATCCTACATATCAATTTTGATAAATTTTATTTTAAGCATAATTAATTATATATTAACTTAAAAAACTAAAATTTTGAATAAATGGATTTTATAAAATTCATTTATATATATACTCTTAATGGTATTTGTTTTATCTAAATTTATTTCCGTCACGATTATATAGTTGCATTATTTTGATTTCCAAACTCTCTGGTATGAGAAGAAAACTCTAGAATCCCATTTCAATATTCAACTTTAAATTATACAAAATTAAAGTAATTAGTAACACTATAAAAAAACGCGTTTTTTCAACCGATTTTTGTGATATTGCGATGATGTTGTAACCAATTGTCATGAATGTTGAAGTAATAGAGATTTAACATTCACCGACGGATTTGCACCCATTGCAATATTGCAATATATTTTTTGTTGTAAATAGGATTTGTTGGAAAATTTGATGAAGTTTTTAAGTTTTGTTCTTTATGTATCTGTTTTTTTTATAAAATTTTTGTTTGTTGTAATTTTGTCTATGAATGATAATATTTTTTGTTGTAAAATTGTAATATTTTTTGTTGTAAAATTGTATTAATAAATGAATAATAGAAAAATGACCTTAAATTTGAATTGTAAAAAATAATGCACGATTATTAAAAATAATTGTAATTTGTAAAAAAAATAATGAGTGTAATTTAATAATAATCAAATTTTATGGTAATCAAATTAATGAGTGTATTGAAATTTATTTTTTTGAAATTACTTTATGTTGATTTGTGTTTTTATTTGAGTGAAAATCACATGAATGATGGATTTGAATTGAAAGCCTTTCAGTGGCCATTTGGCTTCGACGAATGTTGGGATTATATAGAAGTGTTTATGTGAGTATATTTTGACTTAAGATTTGATTATGTTATGTCGAAATACTGCCAAAATTTTTTAAAAAACTGAATTTGCAACCGAAAGTGCATTAATCATTTGTTTTTATTTAAAAAAATGATAAGAAGACAAAATAAAATAGATCGAAAATTATATCTCTATCATATTCTTTCCTCCTTTTAACCTTGCATCTGATCATCTTTGATTGCTAATTCCTCTTTCAATATTATTACTACTCCAGTGAGTCAGTTCTGAAATTACACTTCATTTTGCATGTAATTTACTTGTTATGAAGTGAAGGATATTCAAACTAAAGTGTAAATGTTATTAACTCATTCCTAAAGTTACTTTTATCAGGGGAAGCTAGTTAAGCAAAATTAGAATAATATATGAATTAATTTGTAAGTTTTAGTTGTTTGATAAACTTGAGGAAAGATTTTTTTTTTTTTTTTCTAGTTCCCTATAGGCTATGCTATTGCTTTGTAGCTGGTTGTTGTGGCAATTTCATTTGAACAATTTTCATTTGAAACTCAGCTGAGGTTCCTTTTTTTTTTTTTTCCTCAAATTAATTTGTTTATTTTGGATTGTAGATTTTTTGTTGTAATTTTGAATGGATAATATATTTTTTTTGTTG